AAGAATCCGTGAAAGAAGCTCCCAGATGGGGCATCCGGGGTCTCCGGAGGACACGGAGCTGAAATGAAATCCTGTAGCACAGGCTGGAATACAATTAATTAATTGACATAACAATACCGAGCACCTCTGTGTGACAGGGGCGCAGGGCGCCTCAGGCAGCCGAGGGAAGGCACCGCCGGATGAGGGGGTTATGTCAGGGGTACAAGACAAGCAGAGGGTCCGAAGATGACTCTTCCCAGAATCTCAGTTGATGAAGAAGCCCAACCCTCATTTTGAATGTTCAGCCCGACTGGGTCCCCATCCAGATCTTTCTCTTTGCCAGACAAATTCAGGTACAAGGAATGGTCCCCATAGGTGCGGTGATTGTCCCGCTCTGGGTTCTGTCTCTGGCCAGATCAAGGTTCAACTCCTAGAAAGGAGACGTTGCCTAAGAGAGTCCTGCACCGCCCAAGCCCTGAAGGAAACCCAGATCTCTCAGTGCTGGGGTGAGAACCGGGCTGGGGATGGGGTTGCGCATGACTGCAGGGTTCCAGAAGAAACAAATCAGAGATAGAGTCCATCAGGTATAGACAGATACAAAGGTTTCCAAAATATTCCATTACTGTTGTTCTTCACATGGGCTACACAGTAGAACCAGCTATTAAGTTTAGTTCTTAAGTGTGACAGTAAAGAATAAAGCTACCAGAAGTATATGAAGGAGAATATCCTCATGTGCCAGTGAGCAGAGAACTTTTAAAACCTTCAAAAGCACAAACAACAAAGAAATACAAGTCTAGTATTTGCTTCCATTAAAATGAAGAATATGTAAAATAAAGGCCATAATAGAAACATCAATAGATAAATGTGATCATGGGAGAGTGTATTTAAATTGTCCCCAGATAGCAGGGGTGAGATGGATAATTAGATGATGTAATAGCAAGAAGCCATGAAAAGCAGCAAGATCAAAAGGAAATGGACAAAGGATAGGACAAGTAATTTAGGAGAGAGATATATGAAAGCTAACAAATATTATGCAAAAATTTCCCAATTCATTAATCACCACAGAAATAAAAAATAAAAAGAGACAGAACTCTACCACCATTTGATTGGCAAAAGTAAAAAGCGGAGTAAAACCCATTATCGTAGGACTAGGAATTAAAGAACCCTCGAATCCTGCTGGTAGGATCTGAAATCGAGGACGTCCTCCTGGAGAACTTCTGACTCTGGGGGGGGGGCTGTCCCCGTTCTAGCTCGGAGCTACTCTGCTCCTGCTTCTGAATCTTCCCCGACTCTTCCCACCCCTCAAATCCTACCCGAGACACAGGACACACGGAAGGAAGTTAGTGTCAGCAATGGGTGCGTCTTGTGAAACTGGAAGAAACTTTGCTTTTCATTATTAGGCAGTGTAAATGCATACTTTAGAATAGCATGCACGTTCATCTGTAGTGACAGAGAACGTGACCATGGAGCAACACGGATGGAACTTCAAGTTCTAACACTGTGGCAAAGGAGCTCTGCCAACAGATGGCGCCTTCCGTTTCCACCTGAGAAGCATTCGCGGGGGGAGGCATTGCCCTCCTCTGTGCACAACGAGGATGCTAGACACAAATATGGGACCAGTGGGATATGTTCTGACCCTTGCTGTCAGCGCAGGACCTTGGTCCCTGACCGGAGCGCAACAGAAGCGATGAGCCTTACACAGGTTTTAGCTTGTTGCCTAGAGGCAGTTTCTAGGCCTCCGCACCCCCGGGGGCCGGGGGGGGGGGGGCGGGAATCTGAGCCAAGCAGCGTCGCTGAACTGGGGGCAAAGATAGCATTTCGGGGAGGCCAGTGCACTTGGCTTATTTGGAGCAGAGTAGCAGAGAGGAGAAAGCTGCAGAGAGAGACAGGGAGAGAGGGAGGCCCAGTGGTGGCCGAGGGCCTTTCTTGCACCTTCAGTGGAGTTCTGGTTCATGATCAAGTGGGGTTAAAACTCCAGGGGCTGCAGAAAGAGCCCCTGGAAAAAAGCAAGCTGCTTACGAAGTGCTGGAAAGAGCTCCCAGCAGCTGCCCTGAAGAGACACACTTCCTGCACCCTTTCCGAATGCGGACCGCAAACCTCCCGGCGGCCAGTGTAGCCAGAGACTTCTGGTCAATGGCGCCGGCTTGCTCAGCCTTTCCTGCTGTTCATCGTCAGACGGGAGATGGGAGATTTAAGCTAAGGGAAGAACTGTTCAATACAAATGAGCGAGAGCTTACAGGGTTCGAAAGAAGAAGCTGTTTCTTTTTCCCAGCGGCTCCAGGTGAAAGCCGACGCTAAGATTAAGAAATGCCCTTCAGGCACACATTGTGAGATCTTCTGTTGGCCATGCCAAGTGAGTCCAGGTGATCTCTCCGCAGAAAACCCGGGCCTCCCCTGCGTATCCCAGCCGCAAACCCACAAATCGGAAGGGTGGGCCCGCCAGCACCTTTATAGGAAGCCAAGGTAAACAAGGGCTTATATTCATCAGGTTTCCGAATGCAGTTTTTATTTAATACAGGTTGGAAAACTTTTTCTTCAGTGGGCCAGACAGGAAATATTTTAGGCTTTGTGGCCACACAGGGTCTGTTGAAACGACTCACATCTCCTGTTGAAGCAGGGAAGTGGCCACAGATAATAGGAGAAAAGTGTGGCTATGTTCCAATAAAACTGTATAAAAACAGGGAGCTGGCCAGATATGGCCTGCGGGTCAGAGTTTGCGGGCTCCAGATCTAAGGGAAGACGCTCCAACAGCGTTCGTGACATCACAGGGGTGTCAAGAGCGCAGCGGTGACACTGACGGCTGGAACGCAAAGGGAAGGAGGACAGCACGAAATGAAAAGAGGACCCTGAGCCTCCCGGACTGCGATGGGAAGGAGACTTAGTAAGAGAAATGTTGTGTGAACAGGATGGATGATTGGGAGGGTGAAGCCAAGAGTCCAGGAGGACAGTTCCCAGACAGTACGACTGAGTCCCAATCAAGTGGCAGCATGTGCCCGCCCACTGGCTTCTGGAATTGCTGTAGATCAGTGTGTCCCTGGTTGTGTTCTCTCTGCCTGGGAGGGTGTACAGAGCTTAGCCGCTGCTTCCCAGGCCTGTCTGTGGGAAGACACGTGACTTGTACCTTCAGGCCATAGCTGTTCCAGTCACGAAGAATCCTGCTCGAGCATTCCCACCGAGGAATTTCGTCTGAGCCTTCCCCCGATCTAGATGATGCCATCCTGGATTTCACGTTGATGTTACAAAGGAATCCGACTGGGAGGGAGGGAGTATATTTTGGCATGTGGGAGAGACAGCATCATTGGAGGTCAAAAGTTAGGGGGACATAGGGATAAAATCAGGGCTTCGTTTCTACTACCACTCACCCACAGAGTTGGAAGGGCCGACTCACTGCTGGTCCTAAGGGATGTGATGGGTCTCAGCACCAAGCAAGATGGGCTTCTCAACCCGGTTCTCGTTCCACAGAGGGAGCATTCTTCTTTGGTTCTGACTGGGGTCCAGGTTCACCTTCTTGCTAGATCCTAAAGAAATTGCTGAAATAAGAACACAGATTAAGGTGTGAAATTTTTAAAACAATATGTGACAAGAGAAGACAGACCATGGGGCTCCGTGGCTTAGTTGGTTAAAGCGCCTGTCTAGTAAACAGGAGATCCTGGGTTCGAATCCCAGCGGGGCCTCTCCCTTTGTGGTTTTATGAAAACTTGGGTTCATAGCTGATTGAAACCTCACCACCAGTCTTACCCCTCTGAGGCACTTTGTAGAAGAGCTAGAGAATTATTCACCATGAATTAGCAAGGTCGATGCTATGAACTAGACTTGAGCTATAGTTTCCTAGTTTTAAACTTTTGTAGCTACTCTCCACATTTCCTAAGAAACGTGCAGTCTCCCTTCACATTTTGCTTTGAATATAATTCAAAAAGACAAGAAAAAAGAGAGAAAATGTGCATATTGTATAAATTGAGTGCTGTAATATGATCCCTCCTTCTCCCATGATTCTGCATTCTAGGACATCACTGAATATTTTGAAAAGTAGAGCAAAATGATGGAATCTTGAAAGAGTAAGAATGATTAGTGATGAAACATATGGAAACAAAACACAAGGGAAAACAAGAAAGCTAAACAAGGGACGGGACCTGAAGGACTCAGATGAAAATAAAAGGCTGGAAAAAATGCGTCAAACCCTGCAATAAAGTTTTAATGCGCTAGTGGATCTTTTTCTTTTGATATTCTAGGGCGGGCCGTAAAGTATTACTATATTCGACAAACGCATCCCCTCACCCTCAGTAATGTGCGCGTTCCTGTCAAGCACAGGGTGGGCTCCTTCTCAGCTTCTTGCTCCTCCCTGTAAGGAACGCTGAACTCGGATGATTGCTCCTTTTGTGAGCTTCTGGGAGAACTTGTCTGTTACTTATGGTCCCAGTGCAAAATGAGAACGCAGGGCCTTTTGTTTAAAAGTTACTGAGATTTTCCAACCGGCCATCGCAGAACATTTACATCAAGGGTCTGGCCTAGTGCGCATACAGAGGCTGCAGAGGCTGCGAGGGCGAAGCCAGCCCTCTCTGGGGGCGCATTTTTTTTTTTTTCCCCCGCAAAGACTGGATTTTAAAGGACACCTAGAAGTGGAATGGAATCCCAAGTGATGGTCCATGACATCAAGTAGTTTTAGGAGAGAGCTCCAAGGTACTGACGCGGGAATGTTACACCATACAAACAAAACCTGTGAAAACAAACGTGGTGGAAGAATCTTCTCTCCAGCTGGAAGTTTTTCTGGCCCATGTTCTTTTCTCAAGCGACTCCTCCTTCCAGGTCGCGGTAAATGTCACCTGGCCTTGGCGGCAGGGCGCGCAGACACCTTGTCCCGGCGCGTCCCCCTGACTGTAACTTGGGCTGTGTTCCACGCAGCAAGGCTGCGCGCTGGATGCCCTTGGTAGGTTTGAATGCGAGGCCCAGAAGGGGTGAGAGGTGTCCACGGAACGCGCGATCGAACTGGGAGAGAGAAAAGCTCCCCCGCCGCGGGGCGCGCGTGTTTCCGCCCGGTCTCGAACCGGGGACCTTTCGCGTGTGAGGCGAACGTGATAACCGCTACACCACGGAAACCCCTGCGCGCGCCGGGGCGCTCTCCTCGGCTTCCTGCAGGCGCCCGCGCTGGTTCCTAAAACCCTGGGGCCTCCTCCCCACTCGGGTCTGTTGCGGAGTCATTGTCTGCAGCCGCATTTCCAAGCCGATCCAAACCAGCACCACGCCGAGGCCAGGAGCTATCCGACTCCCAGATACTCTTAAGTATTCAAGTTCTGGGAGCCTTCTGCTAAAACCATGACCAGCCCCAGAATAATCTCAAACATCCTGGCGCTGACCGAGCTTGCATCTTCCTCCTGCATCCCTCGGAATTCCTTCCCACCGGCTCACCCAGCGTGGAAATGATTGCCAGACTCTGCTGGGTTTACCTTCAGCCTCTGTGAAATGCCCCCCCACCCCATTCTTTATGGGTCCCTAGTTCAGGCCCTTGATAGCTGTTCTTCCCCCTCTCCGCACAGCCCCCAGGCATGGCTCTCAGTCTATTCCCTGCCTACCTTGAAATTCAAAACTTCACTTCCTTTCATTAAATTCCGTAAACAGAAACCATTTTCTTTCCTAATATAGGTACTTATTATTTTTTAAGAGAGTTTTTTTTTTTTTTAAAGAGCTGTTTCAGGTTCACAGAGTAGAAGGTACAGACATTTGCTGAGAGTTCTTACCATGAAAGGAAGTTGGATTTTGTTGAATGCTTTTTCTACATCTTTTGATCTGATCATGTACTTTTCTCTCTTAGCCTATTGGTGTGATGGATTCCATTAAGTGAGTTTGAATGTTGAACCAGCCTTGCACACCTGGAATAAATCCCACTTGGTCATGGGATATTCTTTTTCTACGTCATTGGATTAAATTTGCTACTATTTTGCTGTGGATTTTAGTATCTGTGTTCATAAGAGATACTGGTCTGGAGGCGTCTGTTCCTGTAATGTCTTTGTTTGATAGTGGTATTAGGGTAACCTGGCCTCATAGAGCACGCTTTGAAGTATTCCCTCTGCTTCTGTATTTTGAAAGAGATCATAGAGAATTGGTATAATTTCTTCCTTAAATGTTTGGCAAAATTCACCATGAACTTATCTGGGCCTGAAATTTCTGTTTTGGAATGTTATTAATTATTGATTCAATTTTTTAAATACGTGTAGGCTTGTTCAGATTATTTCTTTCTTCTTGTGTGAGTTTTGGCAAATTTTGTCTTCACAGTTTCAATTGGTCCGTTTCATCTAGGTTATCCACACTGTGGGCATAAAGGTTGTTCATAATAGTCTTTTCTTATCCTTTAGTATGCATGGGATCTGTAGTGATGTCCCCTCTTTCAATTCTGATATCATTAATTTGTGTCCTCTCTCTTTCTTAGTTAGCTCGGTGAGAGGCTGATTGATTTTATTGATCTTTTCAAAGAACCAGCTTTGGTTTCAATGATTTCCTGTTCCTAATTTCTGCTCTAATTTTTCTTTCTTTTTTTTTCTGATTACTTTGGATAATTAGGACTTCTTTTTCTCCTTTCCTAGAATGGAAGCTTAGATGATTCATTTCAGATCTTTCTTCATTTCAAATATATGCATTCAATGCTATACATTTCCCTATAAGTATTTCTTTCACTGTATCAAAGAAATTTTGATAAGTTGTATTTTCATTATCATTTAATTAAAAATATTTTTAAATTTCTCCTGAGAATTTTTCTTTGACTCATGTGTTATTTAGAAGTGTGCAGTTTAGTCTCCAGGTATTTGGGGATTTTCCTGTTCTCTGTTATTGATTGCTACTTTGATTTCATTGTGGTCTGAGAGCAGATATGTATGATCTCAATTCTTTTAAATGTGTTAAGGTGTGTCTTATGGCCCAGAATGTGGTCTGTCTTGGTGAATGTTCCATTTGAGTTTAAGAATGTGTGTTCTGCTGTTGTTGGATAAGCTGTCTGGAGATGCTGATTTCGTCGAGGGAGAATCGAACCCCTTATCATTCTATAATGCTCCTTTCTATCCCTGATAATTTTCCTTGGTCTGAAGTTGGCTCTGTCTGTAATTAATATCATTACTCCTTCTTTCTCTTTACTAATGTTAGCATGGTATACCTTTCTCCATTCATTGACCTTTAGTCTATAAATGTCCTTATATTTAAAGTGGGTTTCTTGTAGACAAAATATACTTTAGTCTTGTTTCTTGGTCTACTCTGACAATCTCCGTCTTTTAATTGGTGCATTTAGACCATTGACATTTAAACTGATTCCTGATAGAGTTGGATTAAGATTTCCCATAATATTTCCCAAATTTTCTATTTGATGCCTTTGTTTTTCATTCCTATTTTTGTCTTCTACTCTTTTTCTGTCTTTTGTGGTTTTAACTGAGCATTTTATATTATTTCATTTTCTCTCACTGACAGACTGAGCCCACAGCACACAGCGCTTCCGGTCTGTCCCCTCACACCTTGAATGACTCCAGAAAGAACTGTGCATCACAGACCTTATTTAAGAAGTCTCTAGGGAAAGCCAGACCCAACAGGGGAGGAAACGATAAGGGCAGTAGAGGGACCTCAGCAAGCTGTGAACACAGCATCCCTCCTAGCCAGGTAAACGTAAAACCCCACACTGCAGGCCTGTTGACCTCAGTTACTTTCACCAGCACTCGTGTTTGGCTTTCAAAAAAATGACAAGTCATGCTGAAAGGCAAAAACACAACTTTTAGAGACAGAGAAAGCCTGAGAATTAGATTTTTAGCAGAAATTTTTGGAGTCATCAGACCAGGAATTTGAAACAACTATGATTAAGGTACCAAGGGCTTTCAGGGGAGAGAACGTTTTTCTTTCCCCTCTGAGGGTCCCTTGCTGGGTCTGGAAATTAGACTGACAGAGACTGACGCACAGGAGGAATGCACACACATTTATGAGTTTTACAGGGCGGGGGGCTCCCTAAGGAAGGAAGACTCGGAGACAGGGCTACAGCCGAGGGCTTTTATGCCGGGTTTGATGAAGAAGGCCAGAGGCCTTGCCTGGAGAGGAGCCAGGATAAGAATGATGGCGGACTTCTTCTCAGAAACCATGCAAGCACGAAGAGTGGAGTCAAATATTTAAAGCATTGAGAGAAACTACTACCACTGTGGAATTCTGCTACAGTGAGACTATCCTTCAATGTGCCGAAGGAGACTTTGTCAGACGAACAAGAGTAGAAGGAATACATTGTCATAGATGGGCCTTGCAAGAAAAGTACTTCACAGGGAAGGCAGACGAAGTCTGCAGAAGCTACGGAAGAACACCCCAGAAGGAATACAGGAAGGAGATTGTGTCCAGGGACCTGGTGGGCAGTCTCCTGGGTCTCCCGAGGCCTCCAGGTCACAGGGACCCTGTGGGCCTCAGGGAGCGGGGGCTGGGTAACAACATGAGCTGCTGAGTCTCATCCCTAAACGGTAAGTGCCAGGCCCCCAAATCTGGTGGTCCCGGGTCACCTCTGGGGGGGACCTGGATCTGTGTTGCTGGGGATCCATCTTGTGCACTCGAATTCCTCAGCTTTCTCCTGTTTTGCAGTGTCTTCCTAACCTCCACATATCTGCCTCAGGCTGCCTGCGTGTTTCTTCAAGAAGGAAAAAACTCAGAAAGAATGGCTGGAGCCAGGGGTGGCAGGATGAGGCCAACCCCAAATCTGCCACTTTGGCATGCGGATTATTTTGAGCTGAAGGCACCGGAGGAGCAGCAAGAAAAGCTCTCTGCCCTCCCCCCATGGGCCTCAAAGCAGGACAGAAGTTTACAAAGGGGCCCATCCTCCCCTCTCCACCGGGCAAGACGGAAGTTAATCCCCAGGACAGCTCTAGACCCTTCTGATGGAGAAGGCACAACCTTAAATCTGCGTAACACACCTCCTGCTGCGTCCTGGGCTTGTCCGGGTCAACTCCCCGTGACTGGCCTCCCGCACACGCTTCTCTCTTTGTCCTTAGCGGACGCTGGTGCCTACAGAGTTCCCAGCCAAGGGCTTCCAAGAGTAGAGAGAATGATTTGCCCTCCCCTTCCAGAGTAACGGACACCCTATGTGCCCTGGGGCTGGGTCCACAGGTCCTCCGTGAAGGCGGAGAGACCCCTAGAAAGGCAGGTGCAGGAGCTGGTGACCCAGCGGAGGAAGGCTGCGCAGGGGCCGCGGGTGCGGGGGGCTGGAGGGCACGGGGGTCCGGGTGCTGGAGGGCCCCGGGGTGCCGGGGGCTGGAGGGCACGGGGTGCGGGGGGCTGGAGGGCACGGGGGTCCGGGTGCTGGAGGGCCCCGGGGGACTGGAGGGCACGGGGTGCGGGGGGCTGGAGGGCACGGGGGTCCGGGGGCTGGAGGGGCACGGGGTGCGGGGGCTGGAGGGCACGGGGGTCCGGGGGCTGGAGGGCACGGGGGTCCGGGTGCTGGAGGGCCCCGGGGTGCCGGGGGGCTGGAGGGCACGGGGGTCCGGGGGTTGGAGGGCCCCGGGGTGCCGGGGGCTGGAGGGCACGGGGTGCGGGGGCTGGAGGGCACGGGGGTCCGGGTGCTGGAGGGCCCCGGGGAGCTGGAGGGCATGGGGTTCGGGGGGGCTGGAGGGCATGTGGTGCCGCCGCGCAGACGCCTCTCCCAGCCGCTCCGGGGGCCGGGAAGCCGGGCTTCTGCGCTCCTCCTAGCCCGCAGAGGGTGCGGGGGCTGGGCCCAGAGCGGCTCCCCGAGGCGCGGCCGGCTTCCTGGAGGAGGCGGTCCTGCGGAGGCCGAGGCTGGAGCCAGGCGCAGAGAAGAAGGAAGTAAGGGAAGTGTGAAACAAGCGGCCTAAGGGCCTGATCCTTCCCATGGTAAATAGTAAGAGCAGACTCACTCTCCGCGGAGCAGAGTGGCGCAGCGGAAGCGTGCTGGGCCCATAACCCAGAGGTCGATGGATCGAAACCATCCTCTGCTAAGCGTTTTTGACTCCCTGTGTCTGGAAGGAGGTGGCCCCAGAAAGTAAGTGCATTGCATGCCCCTTAACTAAAATTCATCTCTGACATTGTATCTGATTTCTAGATATGTGTGGTATTTTCCACCCTTCTCCCCAATTGAGTGT